ATTTCCGTTCACAATAATATATATATATATATATATAATATTAATTAATATTGTAAAAGATCACGAAGATATATTAAGTATCTTTAGGTCATATTATTTCGTTAGAATTATAGTGTCCAATATTTATCACGTTTAGATATTTTTTATCACTTATGTCTACTTCCGGCGGGGTAAGCGCAATTCCGGATCTCTCTTTTCTTTTTCTTTCTTATATTTTAAGACATTAATATTTAATATATATATGTATATATAATATATACATAAATATATTTACATCACGTTGCGCCATTGCTTTGGTCTTGCTTTTTAAAATGGATTGAAAAGTTTTGACTTTAATATAGAAACGATATTTTTTTCTTTTATTTAACAATAAAAAAAATAAAAGAAAGATAAATTTCTATTTTTTTTGTCAAGGTTCAAAACTATTCGATTTAACCTCGTATATATTATCATTTTTTACACACACACACACAAAAATTAGAAATATTTAATAAATTAAATAAAATTGTTTTCACGTGAAATACTATTAATAATTTTGTCCTCTTTTTAAATTAAAAGAATAATGCAATGGCCTCTCTCTATTTTACGAAACTTTCATTATCAAACTATCCCTCAAAGAATACGCACACACCTTACGCTGTATATCGTATTAACTACAAAAATTGTGCGACCTCTAATAAACACCAAATTTCTCGTATAGTTTATTGGAATTAGCTGAGAAGTCTCTCGACTCTATTTATTAATTTTTCTTTTTTTTTTCTTTTATTATTTTTCGTTTTTTAATTTCTTTACTCTTCCATACCAATGTTTTTCCATCTTCTTTTTTTCGCATTTAACTCTCTTCCCTCTCCCGTAATTATTTATTATTCATTAATGTCTTTTCAACTCGACCAGCGAGAACATTTGTTTATTTATTTATTTATTTAATTATTAAATCGATTGTCTTCAAGTTTGCAATGATTTAAAGCGAGAATCATCGATATCATATTAATATATATTATATATTTTTATAAATTTCTCTTTTTGTTTTTTTTTTAAAAAAAAAATAAAACAAATTCAAATATTTACGATAATTCATATTCTACAAAAATAAAATTTGTCGTTTTAAATCCGGATGATCATTGATTGTCATCTTTTCATTGTAATTTAATTAAGAAAAAAAAGAGAGAAAAAAAAAAGTGAAATTAGATTCTAACGAGACTCGAAATTTAATATTTCAATCAAAATAATTTCGATAAGGCTTATGAAAATCTCGTTCGAGTATTAAAATTATCTTTATCCCATTAATTTGATTTTGATAATATGTTCTCTCTCTTCTCTCTCTCTGTTTCTCTTTCTCTTTTTCTCTCACACATAATCTTTTTTATATAATATAGGAAAAAATGGATTCTCGTAATATATGTGTATATTTGTAATTTTCTCGAGATCAATCATCTATGGATAAACGATCGGTCCCCTTTCTCTTATATAATATCTTCATTTTATTTTTATCTCTCTCTCTCTCTCTCTCTCTTTATCTCTTTTTGCTTCTTTTTGGCTACGATAAAACTGGAAGAAAAATAATTGCTTTTATCGATTATATTATACTCGCGTTTTTTTTTTTTTTTCAAACATTATTATTGCTGAAACTATCATACAAACCATGGGGTTCTCTCAAATTTTTCCACTCGGTAACCCCCTCCGTTTACTCGAGCAAATATTTTCGTAATTTTGGGTACACAAACTTTATATTATTTTTTTCTTTCGTTATCGTAATCTCACGATAATCCTATACGCTTAGTATTGCCGAACTGGTTTGAATTAATTTTCAATCATTTCGCGTCCAGGAATTATGTAGTTTTTCTTTAATTTTTGCGACCCCATAAGAGATCGGGAGTCATATCTTAAGAAACTCTAACGTAGACACGTTATTTTTTGTATTTATTTATTTATATATATATATATATGTGTGTGTGTGTGTGTGTGTTTGTTAATTTTTCTTATTTTTTTTTTTTTGTATATTTATGTATATTGCGAGAGAGATGTCGATCATTAAAATATATTCGATTATTTTCACGCATATATATATTAATGATTAATTTTATATATAAATTATTATAATAATTATATATAATATATTTCATTTACATAAAATTAATCATTATTATATTTATTTATATAAAAAACTGAATTACACACACGAATTACATATATGTATATATATATATATATATATATTGAATAATTTCTTTTAGCCGGTATATTTGTATGTAAATTTCTTTTTTCTATTAATTATTTATTTTAAAAATGTTATAAATCTGTCAATTTATTTCATGTTGTTGATAGAGGAACACGAATTGGACGCAACATTATGGTGAAAAGCATTGAGGAACTTAATACATTTGAGCTTTGTTTTCGATCATTGTGAGTAGTTAAAAAAAAAAAAAAACAAAAAGAAATAAGAAATGAATAAGAAAAAAATTAAAAATGTGACACAATTATGATTGTCTTTCGATAAAATTGCATAGAATAATTGTCACGATATGATTGTCATCGTCTCGATGTCAAAATTAAAAATTAAAAAATTCAATTGAGTTTTATTTTAATTATGATATATTTATATAAATAATTACAAAAAAAGAAACAAACAGAAATATTAATCACTATCATAGATAACAATTCATGAAAAAAGAAATAATTAAGATCAATAGAGAAATTCTTGTTATTAAATATAAAATTCGTCAATATTAATGTGCCAATTAAGAAAAAAGAATATTCAAATAATAATTAATTACGAAACCTCACACGGTGATCTTTTTTTTTTGAAGAAAAAAAAAAAACAAAAAAATAAAAAGGAAACAAAGAAGATAAATAAAAATATTTAAAATTCGTACGAACGATTCGATTATCCAGAATTTCCATCAAGAGATGATCTTAACGACGGATTCTCCCTCATCCTTGAGTAAAAGACTAAGCCTGAGGTCGAGTTCGCCAGCTTCGAGAGCCCATTTTTCCCTTAACCATCATGGCGAGTCAGTCGTTTGTGTGCCTAAAGTATGGATCGGGAAGAGAGTATACCAATCTACGGTCAATTGTGTTAATGGCAATAGCTTAAGGTTCACTTCGGCGCCACCCAAGCCTTGATTACTCTCGAATCCTTGTTTTTTTTCCCACAACATTATTAGAAGATTTCTATCGAGTGCATCGCAGATGCTGTATTTCAAGGTCTGCCGATATTGAGGATTACGCGTGTGCCGAATCACTCTTGTTTTCCTTTTCTGCAGCCATCTTTCACCGTCCCGTAAATATGTTTTCACGTAGGTATCTACAATTAATATTATTTTAAACTGTGAAACTTATATAATTTAAGAAAACGGTTAGATTTCATACAAATTACAAGAAATGGTAGGGAAGAAAGAGAGAGAGAGAGAGAGAGAGAGATAGATAGATAGAACTCATAGTCGATCGACAGTTGAATAAGATTCTAGAAGGTTCTAGTTTAGTGTTAGTTATATTGTGTGTGTGTGTGTGTGTGTGCGTGTGTTGTATGAGATACATCGATCGATAGTTACTGCGAGAGATGCGTTTGTTTATAGATTGATGATGAGTAGGGATATATAACATACCTTGCGAGTGTTCGACATACCTTAAATGATTGTTAACCCTTTGATTGGTACGGGCGCATATATGCGCCCGGCAAAAGCTATCAGTGTGGCCTATGGTCGAATATCATTCGCGAATCGCTTCAACTTAGAACAGTTCGCAATCAAAGGGTTAATTAATCAAAGCTAATGTATATTGTAGTCTAAAAGCAAGTTCAACGTACCGTTCTCTTCGAAATTCATCGTTAAACTGGCACGTTGTCTTCTGTAAAAGTTCTTTTATTGAATGTTGTTTATATGACTTTCCTAATAAGGAAATTCTATGATATTTATTACGCGAATATTATTTTTGTTATGCGTATGTACCATATAAGGAAAGTCTCATATAAACAATATTTAATAAAAGAACTTTTATAGAGGACAATGACTCAGTTCAACGGTGGATTTTGAGGAAGACGGTGCTCCGAACGTATACTCAGTGCTTCTAAATTACAATACACATTTTTGTCGATTAATTATCAATTAATTAAGGTAAATCAAACACAGTACTGTACTGTACTAATATTTTGGAGTGTTTAAATTAAAAAAATATTTTTTTTTCTTAACGTTCCCGCGGCCAGTGATGACTTTGTGAATTGAACATTTTTATCTAATAATATATTTAATCGAAATTGTTTAATATTATAGAAGTATATTAACGGATATGTTATTTTGTTGATAAATGTATTTTGTATTTCTCTCTTATAAGAGAAATGATAAAGAATTATTTAATTGTATATAAGATTTGTGAAACTTTCGAACATGTTTGTCTTATGAAAAAAAGATAGAAGATAAAAATATATTTTATAATAAATATGTATCGTAGGGAAATTGGACATTAAAAAGAAGTAGAACTTAGTTTTTTGATCAAATTTGATCTTTCTTCTTCTTTCTTAATATCCAATTTCTTCTTAAGTTCTTTTTAATGTCAAATTTCCCTACGATACATATTTATTAATAATTTTATTTTTGGACGAGAGAAACAACTAATTGAATATTTTATAATGTTTAAAAATATTTGGAATTATCTTTTTACCGGGTTCATCCTTTTCCTTAGGGCAAATGTCCCTAGCACAGATAACTTCAACCTCGAGAGTATTCTTGCTGAAACAAAAACCTAGCTGCACCTCGCCGTTTTGTGGACCTAAAAACAACAAATACTCGTTTATATATATTTTTTACGATCATATATATATATATTTAATTTAAAAATATTTCGAAGAGAAAAAGAAAAGTTTAATTGACTGAATGAAACTTTACTATTGATCATTTTGATTCCTTTCGGTAGAATTTGACCTCTTCCTAGTGTCCTGTCGAAACCATTCTCAGCTCTTGCATAACTGTAAACATTAATATTGCATATTCAAAAATTAGTATGTAAAAAATTTTACAATATATTATTTTTATAATAAAAGTTCAATCCCCAAATTTAACTTTAAAATCTTAACACATGATAAAATGTTTATTTCCTCATATTGAAAATAATCAAATATATAATTTATTTTTATTATAATTTTTTTTCAAGAAGGAACAACATTACGTTAAATAACATTCTTATGTAAAAAAAAAAAAACGTATAAATTTTTTTATTTTATCAATTTCAGCTGAATTAATATATTTGAGAAAATGAAAATCAAACAAACATTTTCTTACACCTGATCGCGAGGGAAATTCTCCAAAATTTTTTTTCTTTAATTATTACATAGAAATAAAAATTAATTTATTTAATTTACCTCCATCTATCCTCCTCATCCAATTCGTTATTTTGATCCAAGAATCTTTCGGGTATATCCATAACGCTCCCTTTGCGCTCACCCCGTCCTGTGTGATTACAATAAATGTTGCTTTCTTTTACTTCAATCGATTATCCAAACGAAAATTTATATTACAACCTGTATGTCGTATCAGATATTTAATCAAAAAAATATCAAAAAAATACAATTTAATACAAGCGAATTTCTTTTTATTCATTATTACATTTTCTCGAATAACACGAGCAATGAAAATCATTTTTTTTTTCCTTATTAAATTTCTTATCAATTCATTCATTCATTCATTCATTTATTTATCTATTTATTTTTCTTATAGAGAAAAATATTGAAATGAAAAAAAATAGTTTCATTATATTTAACAAATTTTTCTTCTGTGCGATTGCTCGAAGTTTTACTTTATCAAATAAATTACTAATACATTTTTAGTTGCACGCAAGTGTGTGTATGTGTGTGAAACACACCGACACAAAGGTTGCATGTTTTTTTTCTTTTATATTTCTTTCTTACTTTCCTCCTTACTTTCTTTCTTTCTTTCTTTCTTTCTTACTTTTCTAATATTTTCTTTCTTATTTTTCTTTTTCGTAATTTTAATTCTTTTTTCACTATTTCTATTTTTGTAGTTTTTATTATTTTATTACTCATGACGTAGAGGTACTACGTTCGTTAATTGAATCTCCTCTCTACCTAGGAAATCGTATATTTCTCGCGTCATCCAAGTAAAGCTTTTACTCTCTACTTGTAAGGCAACAAAATACGATAGCGAAGCGTGTTCTCGATGAATTAAATACGAGTGTTATTATAACAATATATCGATTTGATTATTATATCGTAAATTAACAAAATTAAGGAGAGATCCAAAAAAAAAAGAAAAAAAAGAAAAAATTCTCTAATTTTCCTATCCATAAAAAATGTTTCAATCAATATTTTACGTGTTCAACAAATATTTTATTTATTTTGTATTAATTAAATATGTAAGAAGAAAATGTCTTTAATATTTTTTTCGTATCATTTAAATGTTAACACAAAATTTATTTATTTAATTTTTTATAATGACATTTTTTTTAGCAAGAACAAAAACAGCATGTATCTATATCAAAATTATCTATACATTTTATAATAATAATAATAATAATAATAATAATAATAATAATAAAAATAATAAAATTTCAGTAAAAAAGATCGAATAAAAATAAATGAAAGATTATTATAATTAAAAAAAAGTGATTCCGTCGAAATTCATTCGATTTTAGTTTTATTATCTTTCGTGGTAACTTCTCTCTCTGTGTCTTTCCACAAATGTGTGTGCGTATATACGTAGATATGTACGTGTGCATACGCGTACATTAAATACGGATTAATCATTTCAAACATGTTTTTCAAACTGTAAAACGGATTTAACGTTCCGATCGTTTTCCGATAACATAGTTACGGAAAAATAAATCTTTCATCGGTGGTAACCGTTTGACCTGGTTTCCAAGTTCTACCATTTTTAAAAGTTCTTAGTCAAGTTTTCTATGTATGCACATAATATTTATATATGTATGTGTATGTATTGTATACTACGATATATATAAATATGTTGTCCTGCTATTCTATTCCACGAGATTAACTACGCTAATTTAAACGATTTAACTTGCTAACATTAAATTCATTAATAATTGAACATTTTAATTAACTTGTTTGGATTATATATATATATATAATATCAAAATAAGATGTTAAATAAAAGATAGAGAGAGATCGTTGTTTAAATTAACTACTTCAATATCTAAACTATAATTTTTAATTTCTAATTAGCAATTTCTAATTTCTAAATTTCTAATTTCTAATATCTAATCTCTACGAAAACTACATTTTTGGGATTAGATAGATTAGAGCATTCCTTTGAATCTATACGAGCTGCAAGATGCGAATAGAAAAACATACATTACGTCAAATCTTATGGGTACCTCTTTAAAAATATATTCTTCGATATTTATTATATATTTGTGTATATATGTATCATTAGAAATGATGATTTGTAAAAAATAAAAATTGGTCGAGAAAATAAAAGAATAAGAGAGAAGAATATATAATAAGAGAGTAGATTAGAAAGAGATAGTTGGTTAAACGATTTAAGAGACAATTAAAAATTAGAATTCCTATTTTATTCGAGGTACCCATATATATTACCATGAAAAAAAAAATAAGAAATACTAATTTCTATTATTCACATTCTGAGATTAGATTTATCTATTCCTACGATAATAAGGTAACTACTGTGTCATGCAGATTTATTATAACCGTCGGACGAATTTCGTTTTTTTTCTTTTTTTTTTTTTTTTTTGTTTTTAAACAAATTAAAAATAATATATTCATAAGTTTATTATAAGAAACACGAAGTGGGTCAACAAATTTTTATCTGAACCAAAAGTACTTAAAGATGATTTTTAAAATTCGTTACCTTTTTAGATAAATTTTCATATTACTGATTAGATTAATAGTTTAACGAGCAAAATGTCTTAAAAAAGCATAATCGATTTCTTAAATTTTATTTAACAAAATTTTTAACTCGTTTAGAGAATATTTTCAAACCTAAGTTCCAATGAATCTTCTATTATAAAGATTTCAATCTTACGACAAATCTCTTACTAACAATAAGATTTCTAATTTGTTAAGAAAATATTTTTAAGGATAATAATAATAATAATAATTCGATTGTTAACACTAACCAATTGTGTAAGCTAATATCATAAATGTATATACTTAGAATAAAATAATTCAAACAAATTTTGTTTCGAATAACCGATTGAAAAAGAAAACTTGTTTCAAAGGTCGAAATACGTACGACGATAGTGTGTGTGTATATGTGTGTGTGTGTATAAATTGTGTATTCAAAAGTCGATTGGCTCCTTACCTAAGGCTGCAACTGCAGGTAACAACTGGTAGCAAGTGGCTAGCGATCAGAATATCTATGAATGCTGGCAGAGAAATTGCTAAGCGAATACTCTTAACAAGCGTTATACTGCACTAACTTTACGTACATACACATATATGTATATATATGTATATATACATGTTGCTTATAAGAAGAAAATATATTTTTTCGTATATATATATAAACATCTTGTTTATATGAAAATTACAAAAAAAAAAGTACAAACAAATGCAATATTTTTTATATATAAAAAATAAAAAATAAAAAATATATATATATATGTATATGTATATACAGGGTGTCCGGTAATTAGTAGTACACGCGAGCACACAGGTGATGATTCTACTTGAGAAATTAAATCGAAAATATAGAATAAAATTTGTTTATATAAGAGTTTTTGTTTTTGGAAAATAATAAGTTTGAACAATTGTCGAGTACGCGTGCACTTGTTGATTGAGCTTGCAACCCTGATAACTAAAAAAAGCTTCGTTCGATAAGCATAAGAGTAGAGAACCTATACAAGAGATATCATCATGCTGAAAATGTTTATGAACGCTGTATTAAGAAGCAGAAAAGTGTTTTCCGAAATATTCGAAAAGTAAATTAGCGAAATCTTTCGAGAAGAAATCAAATCAAGTCCATGTGTACTTGATCAATTTTTCAACTCTTTTTCTTTTGTTTTTTCCCAAAACAAAACAAAATTAATAGCGATGAACAAATATTATTCTACATTTTCGACTTAGGTTTTCACGTAGAATTATCTTTTGCTCACGTTTGTATCACCAGTTAGAGGACTATTCTCTGTATAATGACGTAAAAGTGATACTAAAAGTGTAGAACAGGACGAAAACATAATCGTGGGGGTGTAAGAAAAGAAGACTTCCCTATATTATTGGTATACAACTCCATTCTTATAGATTAGAACAACAATAGTGTTTTTTGGAATATTTTCCATTTCATTGTTTCACTTTTCTTTTTTTGGTTATATTTTAAAAAGTCTAACCTGTCTGTTATAATACAGAAAAAGGATCGTAGAAAGGAGATCAAATAATAATAATAATAACAATAATAATAATAATAATAATAATAATAATAAGATTATTGTTTTGAATAATTTAAAATTGGGTATTATATTATTGGAAGAGCATAATAATATCTAGTTAAAAAAGAAGGTGAAATTTAAAGTAGTAAAAGAAGAAGTAGAATTATAAGGGTAGAAGATTAACATTTATATAACAGAGTATACCTTCAGAACGGTTGGGGTAGTAGTAGTAGTAGTAGTAGTTGGGAAGCTAGGTTTTAGTAATAAAAATGTTAAATTTTAATTAACACACTTTACCTACCATTTGCGAATTAAACGAATATCTAGAAAAACCAAGTAACAGATTGATGCAGAAACTATAGAAAATTCTTCTGTAATATCGTAATACCGATCATTTATGAGAAAAGTACGTGTAGTTCGACACAAGTCGAATCAGTAGAATCATATTATAGAACTTTCTCTGACAATGAATCTAAACAAAAGTTCATTTGATTTATTTCAATTCATTTCAATAAATCTAAATAATCAAAAGAAACAAACTATCGAACATTATTTTACCGATAATCATCTTTCCATTATTAGAATTCATTTAAAATGGATTAATACTATTAGAAGAGGACAGAGAAAAAAAAACAAAGACACTGTTTTATGTATAATAATTAATAGTAAAAGTATAATTGAACGCGAGATCCGTTAATATTCGTTAAAACAAATTAATAGATTGTCCTTGTCAATAAGTGACATTTGATATTGACTAAAGTAAAGGTAGGTAAAGTGTTAAGATTAATTGGATGGGATTAAGATAATTGATGGGTTCAGATTGAGAAAGATAGATAGATAGATAGATAGGTAGATAGATAAGTAGATAGATAGATAGATAGAGAAAGAGAGGGATAGAGAAAGAGAGAGATAGATAGATAGATAGATAGAGAGAGAGAGATAGAAGTGAAGAGAAACAATGAGTCTTACCGGAAGCCCATAACGGCGGACGACAGAGTCTTGCGGTTATTTAACGAGGTGGTGTGGAGTGCGGCAGTGGAAAGGATGAGGCCGATTTACCGGTCCTCGGAGACACAGGTTCGCACTGCCACACAGTAACTGTTGGGACTACGCATTCTGTTGCAGATCAGGTGGTTGGTAGTAGTAGTAGTAGTAGTAGTAGTAGTAGTAGATAGTAGGTAGTAGAGGTAGTAGATAGTAGTAGTAGTAGTAGAAGTAGAAGTAGATCAGTAGTTGATTTGGTTGACAGATCGGCTTCGCCATATTGGCCCAAGAATTAGTTCGTAGATAGTCGAAGGGGTGTCGTTTGATTTTTCGTCATAGTGTGGAGTAGCAGATTTCGCCGTAGAGATGGGACGGGCAACCGTTTTCGTACCGATCGAATCGTTTTAGTTCGATTCGTGTTATTTTTCATTCGTTTAGATTCATTCGCGTTCAGTGTATTAGCGGAAGAGAGCCGACCGAGAAAGGATAATTATTTAAGACAATCAAGATTGTTCTAACATAAGTATTTCAGAGACACACTCAGCAAGTGATATTTATTAACGACCAGCTTGGCTTTTTAATCAACATTTTTCACACGACAGCGGATAATAATAATAATAATCATAATAATAAATCACATAATCTCAAATGAATAATAAGATAAATAATGATAATGAAATAATAATGATAATAATAATCATCGGCTTACAACATACGTCGAAGATAAGCGATCAACACATTACTACTTTTTGCCTTGGTATTAAATGTTTTTTGTGTGTGTGTGTGTTTTTTTTAAACAACTGACCATGATGATTGACCTTCAAGTGTCACAAAAGGAGGACAAGTGTTGGGTTTATAGGAAGTTGGGATATTTTAAAGGAGACTCATCATTTAACATTAATTAAACTTTGCCTTCTTCCTGGAAATTTTATTACTTTTTTTTTTCTTTTTTTAAATTGCAAGGCTGTTTTTAATACCCGAGGAAGAGGAGGAGGAGGAGGAGGATGAAGATAAATTATTAAAATTATTAGACCGGATGTCGGTCAATTGGAAAGCTGCCAGGCAGAAGGAGCAGCAATTAGCGGCAGGCAAACAATTGGCGCAACACAGTGAACGCACGTTTAAATATATCGGTGTAATTTGTTATGTGTATAATATATATGTATGTGTACGCGCGCGTGTCTGTATAAATGTATTTACAGTATGGGCCCAAAAAAATCGATTAGTCTTTTTTTCATAAATTTTAAATAAATACTTTTTTTTTGGTTTTTTTTTTTAATCAGATTGTCAAACTCCAAAGGCCTACAGCTTAACACATTACTTATCAACGGCTGATTGTTTTACTTTGGCCAGCATTTATTGACCAGTAGCTTAAAAATGGGCCTTACTTCAATATTATTATTCAACACATTTTAATGTTTTATCTTTTTATCAAATATTATTGTTTCTAGCAAATAAAAAGACAAAAGTACAATAATTATATTTCTATAACTTTACGAATATTGTGTTATTGATATAACTACCATTAACAATTTATTTTTTTTTACCCCACAAAATTCACTGATGTTATTATCAAATAATTTCGATTCAAAATTGGCCAAATGTTTTCGTTGCCCGATAAGTAACGTCTCAATTTTAAAAGCATAGACGAAAAAAGAAATACATCTCTCGACAAAAGGAGTAATCGATTTTTATATTTATATCACGTCGGAAATCATTTTTCTTTCTGCCCAACGAAAATAAAAAAAAAAAACAAATCTTTTAAGGACAATTTTGCATATATATATATCTATCGTACGAACAAACGAATAGTAGACGAGAGTAACAACAGAATATTGTGTACAATGAATTGGACAATATTTTTCCTAGCAATTACGATTAAGACGAACGTGTTTATGAGAGAGCGAGCGAGAGAGAGAGAGATATCTATATATATATATATATATATATATATA